GGGATCTGGAGCGTTGCTCCCGTGACAGGTTGGATCTGGAGGGGATATGAGAATGATGAGCTGTAGTGACCTCGTGACAGCTAGCCGTTGGCCACATGGGCTTCAGTCCGTGGCGGTGAGGAGGGTGGAGGCACAGTTGGCTAGGGTTGGTGATACATGCGCAGAATGATTGTGGGAGTGGGTACAATATCACAAACCAAGTTTCCCCTCCAGCTCTCGTGATCATCCATGCCACCTCCTTGTTGTCATCGCGTAGAACCAAACTCGCCATTTCCTAACTGAGCTAGATGTCTATACCCCCCTAAACTTTCATATTTGGGCCACATTTACTAATTTAGTTAAATGTATATAATCCCCTCAACATTGCAATGTTTGGCAAAACAACCCTTGAGAGGCCACCAAACTGGTTTTGCGGATTGTTTCAACCCCCGTGGCACACTGACCATACTTTCTTCTTTGACTTATCCTGCCACCTTATCCTACGACCCACATGTAAGTCTAATAGACGAGGACGCTACAAGGAGACGCAGACCCTTCTTCCTCGGACCAGGCTGTTCCCCCTGCTTTTCTAGGATCCGAATTTGGCGACGGATGAGTCGGGGCAGCGCTACATCGACGCCATCAACTATGTATCCACTGAGGCCGTTGGGGCAAACTGGCATGCGCTGGCGGTTGGCTGTGGCATCTTTGCCGAGAGCCACCCTCGGCAAAGAGATGATGGAACTAGCCGACGTGAGAGTCACTCTATATTGTCGGGTGGTACTGTTTGGCTCTCGGCAAAGTCTTTGCCGAGTGCCCGTGTTTTGGCTCTCGGCAAATTCCTGTTTGCCGGAGAGGTGTCGCCGAGTGGCGTCTGCCGAGTACAACACTCGACAAAGGCTTTATCGGCGGGTTTGGGCCCTTTGCCGAGTGTCCGTGGCGCTCGGTGTATAACTCGATTCCAGTAGTGCATGCACCGGATGGACAGTGTTCCAGTGGAAGGTCGTCTGCGCATAACTCCGAGGCCTCCAAACAAGTCGCGGGTGTAGAAGGTTGCCTCTTATGCGCTGCCACAGCAGCCTCATGTTACCTCTTATCAGTACTGCCCCTTATGGACCGTCGAGCAGCTTCAAGTTGCTTCTTATGTGTCACAGCAGCTGCCTAATGTTCCCTCTTATACATCGCAAATGTCATCAAACACACTTTACCAAAGCAAATTGCATAGTTGCAGTGTTCAATTAAACGTAGATTACTCGCATAAACTGGACAAAGTGAGAGTTTCCTTTGAGGGGCGTGTGAAGCATTGTACTAGAAGTGCGCACTGCCCATCATTTGGCATCCCGAAAAGGGCCTCATTTCCTGCATATAATTACAGATTCTATATAGAGCCTCAACAAGTTCGATACATCAGTGCTGCTCCTCTCCTTTCCCATGCCGCCGATGCTTAAGTGAGTTGTGCTGCTAGGGAAAACACCATGCAGAACACGGTGTCGAAGGACTCAGTGATTGCTGAACGTGCACACTTAGATGACGAGGGCCAGCGGCTCTGAGCGTTGACACGGGCACCGACCCCTTGCTGTGCGCGCTCACACATTTAAGTTGTTGTACTCGAGCAAAGATATAGGGCTGGACCTGCGGGTGCATCCTTCATCTGCCAACGTGACGATGGCGTTTGCACTGAGTGCGGAGGGGTTGATCAACATGTACGTGGATGCTGGCCCCCATGCACATGAAGCATTTGATGGAATGCCAGGCGCAGTGGCATTTTTCCAGATTGCCTC